GCATTGCTTGGTGGAAGTGGACTCATAATGCCCACCACATTGCCTGCAATAGCCTTGATTATGATCCGGACCTTCAACACTTGCCTGTTTTTGCGGTCTCTTCGCGTCTATTTCATTCATTGACATCCGTTTTCTATGGAAAAAGTTGACATTTGATCCATTGGCTAGGTTTTTTGTGAGTTATCAACATCTAACCTTTTATCCTGTGATGGTTGTTGCGAGATTTAATCTTTATTTGCAGACTTTCCTGTTGTTGTTCTCCAAGAGAAAGGTACCCGATAGAGCTTTGAACATTGTTGGGATCCTTGTTTTCTGGACTTGGTTTCCTCTTCTTGTTTCATTCTTACCCAATTGGACAGAGAGGGTGTTGTTTGTGCTAGCAAGCTTTTGTGTTACATCAATCCAACATGTTCAATTCTGTTTGAACCATTTCGCGGCCAATGTTTATGTTGGACCCCCTAAGGGGAATGATTGGTTCGAGAAACAAGCGGGTGGGACGATTGACATTTCATGCGTCTCTTGGATGGATTGGTTCTATGGTGGGTTGCAATTCCAGCTTGAGCACCATTTGTTCCCTCGGATGCCTAGGTGCCAATTGAGAAAGGTTTCGCCTTTTGTGAGGGAACTATGCAAGAAGCATGATTTGCCGTATAGGAGTCTTTCCTTCTATGAGGCCAATGTGCAGACAATCAAGACTCTCAGGGACGCGGCCTTGCAGGCTCGGGACCTCACCAACCCTGTTCTGAAAAATTTGCTTTGGGAAGCCGTCAACACCCATGGCTGAGGTTTTTTTTCCATGAGGCTCATAAAGAATTTTATCATCACAATGGTTCAATTCTAACAGTTCTTTGATTTGTTATCTTTGGTCTGAGCACAAAGAAGAGACTGTTTTTCCCCCTGCGGGTTTGTTTTTGCAATTTGATATTCTGTTTTGCAATTTAATATTATGCTTGGCATATGCTGCTTCGATCAGCTTTATTGTATGAGTAAAATTACTTTGGTTCAATATAATTAATCTTATTAGACTTCAATAAAAATATTAGTGGTTTTGTATACATTTGGCTCTTGTTCTTGAATTGGTGATATATGGTTCCATATAGCAGAATTCCAGGTTACATTCATGAGTTGATAATATAACCAGATTAAAGGAGTAATAACCAATACCACCAGTCACTATTTGCCTTGCATATGTATATTTTAGGTGTGGCTTTCAATGGATGAACTATAACCAGTTTGGTCATCATGGTACTTGACCATAGCATCACATCTCCATACTTGACAGAATCCTTTATGGTCGGAAGCACTTTTGAGAAGGGAATGTCCTTGTGAAATTTTCATAGCAGATAATCCTTGTAAAAATTGTGTAGCAGGATTAGGCGTTATGTGTTGCTTCTATGCAGCATCAAGGTTCACAACAACTCCAATGGAGTACTGACAAGGTTATTGTAAATTGAACCCAAACATAAAGGGAATAGCTTCCAGCCCCTCCTCCCATAGAAAGCATCACTTTGATTCCGTTTCCTTGACACAATTATGTATCCAAGCTTCAACCAGTGCTGCCATCAGTGTATGGATCACATTTAGGCTCACCATGGGAGTGTGGCCATTGCCAAATGTCCAAAGAAATCCTAATTTCACAAATTTCTTGGCTAGGGTGCCCTTGTTTCCATTCTCTTTCGCTTGTAGATAACGATTCCGCCAGCATCAGAACCCAACATTAGTATTACCATCGGTAGTGAGATAAAACCAAGAGGATTTGCTTGCCAAAGTGCTATTACTAATCTAGTTAGGCATACTTGGATTTGTCTCTTACCGTTATAGATTTTCAATAATTTGTGTTGTTTTCATGGTGCCTGTCTGTTATCGAGCAATGGTGATTCAACAATAAGATTTATTGTTTGTTTATACCAGAAGTTAATAGCTACTATTTTGTGCTTATGCTAGTTGATGCTTGGCTGAACTGTCATGTTGTCTTGCCTCAGTTGTTTTAAATATAAGTAAGGCATGGTCTACCGTAGGTGGAGTTCAACAAACGGATTTAACATTATTACATACCCTAAGATGCCGCTCTGGGCTGTTTTCATTTTCTTGTAAACTAAGAAAAGCATATTCTTGCGTTATTCAGAAAGGTTTTGTCCCAGGCTGCTACCAATGAGAATAGTTTCCGGCAAGATAATGCTATGTTTGCAAATAGCTAAAGATATGAATATAACTATATCAAGGAAAAATGCATAATCTTCTTACTTCTAAGATATTCATTTAACTTCCTTGACATTATGGGCTGTAGTTCAACCAGGAAAAGGAAAATGAAATCAAAAATAGAGGACGAGGATGAGAAAAAAACTGGTTTTATATGATATCGTGTCTGTCCTTTAACTCGGGATGATCTTATGTGGTTTTTGTTAAATTTTGCATCATTTTTGAACCTGAGTTGAAGCCGAAAGTTAACAGTGGGTCGATATAGAGGCAAAAAGACAAGCTATAGGTTAGTGAAGCAGTTAAGAATATCTGGGGGCATATGAACCTGAATATTAGGTGCCTTTGTTGACAGATAATGAGCCTTGGAAAGAATGTTGCACTTGATGTTTCTCAATTTGGAGTAGGTATGTCTAAGTGCAGAAAATTTACTTGTTTGTTTGGGATCAATATATCACCTAGCAGATGGGGATGGAGACAGGCAACTAAGTTTGGCACCTAACTACGCATGCCAGGGGCCTTGTGCAGTAAATCCTCTACGGGCAGTTGTCCGTCGTCGTGAAGTAGTCCCCGTGAAGCTTTTTGGAAGAGGGGTAGTCTTGTGTGTAAACATAGTATTTCTGGTTGAACCTGCCCAACCCAACTAAGAAGAATCGAACTTGACAGACACATTTTTTTTTTTTTTTGGAGGGTACTCCGAGTAGTGAGTACCTCGTAGGACCTCAACCCACCTACTCAGTCTTGTATGGATATGCGGAAGGGGTGCTCTTAGGCTCTTAGGTGTGTGTAAGGGTTGTGGACATACTTGCACACGGCTGCAAGGGAGAAATCAAAAGGAAACTGAACCCGGTCAGAATGGCTGCAGGATCTGGCTGATTGGAGTTGTACTTTACATGAATTAACTTGATTATTGGTTCTTTTGATACTTTCTCACTTGGGCTGTGTGATGTTTTTTTGAGAGAAGTTGGGATTGGTTTATCCAAACTTTTTTAAACTTAAAGATGGGATTCAACATTTAATATTGTCCATACTCATGTTTGGTATGCGTATGAATATATGACTATTATGATACTATATTTATATATAAATGAATATTGTGTCATTTAACTAATATGAGATATATAGGATATATGAAGAGTATAAATGTCATTTGCATGTTAAACTCATTAATCCACGTATGAAACCTCTCATGAGTTTCATGAAACTCATGAATTTGAGTTTCATGACTGGGCCTAAACCAGGTTGGGTTTCAAACTCTGACCTAAATGTGTTAAACTCATCTAGGATATATGGAGAGTATAAATGTCATTTGCATGTTAAACTCATTAATCCACATATGAAACCTCTCATGAGTTTCATGAAACCCATGAACTTGGGTTTCATGACTGGGCCTAAATCAGGTTGGGTTTCAAACTCTGACGTAGATGTGTATTTGTCAAACATGAGTTTGAGGGGGTTTATTCTCCGACCTATATTCAAAAATCCCCCAAACCCACATACCAAACAACCTTTGTGTTTTGGAATAAATAGAATTGCCATTAACAGAACGTTGTGCATAGACAGTTAATCTGTCTTTGGGCGTTGGCTCGTGGCGTCTGGAAGATTTCTAAGCTTAGGCTTGCATCAATTTTAAAAATTACTGTTATAATATTATTCTCAAATGCAAACCCTGTGCTAGATTTTAAAGTTTCCAGTTCTGGGAATTGCATATATTATTTGTGTAGAGTATATTTGAGGCAGTACGAGTATATAAGATGGTACACAGAAACAAAAAGCAGAACTATTTATGGAATTTATTCACCCCCAAGTAATGTTTGAAACCCAATATTTTTTTTTTTGATCAATAATTAGGGGTGGTTGGGTCAATTGACGTACGTTTTGATTGATCTTTTTTCCGATCTTGTTAAAGGTTACATGATGAAACTAGGATATTCATGAAAAATAAATTTGCATTATCTAATACTGTGAAATTGTTAAAATTTAAACTTAAGATATTTGAAATTATAACTTGCGACTATTAGCTCTTAATTGAAACTCGATACTCATTCAAGGCTCTTGATAATCAATAACACTAGGAATCATATGACTTAATCATTATAGTTATCACCACTGCCCTGTAAATGATTCCAAGGCTATCAAATCATCTGAAAGGGTTTCTGTGTTGCACTCATTGAAATACAAATTATGGGGAACAAAATCATCAAATTTCTCTGTTAAAAAAAAATGAAGATAAGTTAATGACCACAATCAACAAAATCATCACATTATTATGGAGAATCTCCCACTCCAAAAACCATATAATGTGATGATTTTGTTGATTGTGGTCATTAACTTATCTTCATTCTTTTTTAACAGAGAAATTTGATGATTTTGTTCCCCATAATTTGTATTTCATGAGTGCAACACAGAAACCCTTTCAGATGATTTGATAGCCTTGGAATCATTTACAGGGCAGTGGTGATAACTATAATGATTAAGTCATATGATTCCTAGTGTTATTGATTATCAAGAGCCTTGAATGAGTATCGAGTTTCAATTAAGAGCTAATAGTCGCAAGTTATAATTTCAAATATCTTAAGTTTAAATTTTAACAATTTCACAGTATTAGATAATGCAAATTTATTTTTCATGAATATCCTAGTTTCATCATGTAACCTTTAACAAGATCGGAAAAAAGATCAATCAAAACGTACGTCAATTGACCCAACCACCCCTAATTATTGATCAAAAAAAAAATATTGGGTTTCAAACATTACTTGGGGGTGAATAAATTCCATAAATAGTTCTGCTTTTTGTTTCTGTGTACCATCTTATATACTCGTACTGCCTCAAATATACTCTACACAAATAATATATGCAATTCCCAGAACTGGAAACTTTAAAATCTAGCACAGGGTTTGCATTTGAGAATAATATTATAACAGTAATTTTTAAAATTGATGCAAGCCTAAGCTTAGAAATCTTCCAGACGCCACGAGCCAACGCCCAAAGACAGATTAACTGTCTATGCACAACGTTCTGTTAATGGCAATTCTATTTATTCCAAAACACAAAGGTTGTTTGGTATGTGGGTTTGGGGATTTTTGAATATAGGTCGGAGAATAAACCCCCTCAAACTCATGTTTGACAAATACACATCTACGTCAGAGTTTGAAACCCAACCTGATTTAGGCCCAGTCATGAAACCCAAGTTCATGGGTTTCATGAAACTCATGAGAGGTTTCATATGTGGATTAATGAGTTTAACATGCAAATGACATTTATACTCTCCATATATCCTAGATGAGTTTAACACATTTAGGTCAGAGTTTGAAACCCAACCTGGTTTAGGCCCAGTCATGAAACTCAAATTCATGAGTTTCATGAAACTCATGAGAGGTTTCATACGTGGATTAATGAGTTTAACATGCAAATGACATTTATACTCTTCATATATCCTATATATCTCATATTAGTTAAATGACACAATATTCATTTATATATAAATATAGTATCATAATAGTCATATATTCATACGCATACCAAACATGAGTATGGACAATATTAAATGTTGAATCCCATCTTTAAGTTTAAAAAAGTTTGGATAAACCAATCCCAACTTCTCTCAAAAAAACATCACACAGCCCAAGTGAGAAAGTATCAAAAGAACCAATAATCAAGTTAATTCATGTAAAGTACAACTCCAATCAGCCAGATCCTGCAGCCATTCTGACCGGGTTCAGTTTCCTTTTGATTTCTCCCTTGCAGCCGTGTGCAAGTATGTCCACAACCCTTACACACACCTAAGAGCCTAAGAGCACCCCTTCCGCATATCCATACAAGACTGAGTAGGTGGGTTGAGGTCCTACGAGGTACTCACTACTCGGAGTACCCTCCAAAAAAAAAAAAAAATGTGTCTGTCAAGTTCGATTCTTCTTAGTTGGGTTGGGCAGGTTCAACCAGAAATACTATGTTTACACACAAGACTACCCCTCTTCCAAAAAGCTTCACGGGGACTACTTCACGACGACGGACAACTGCCCGTAGAGGATTTACTGCACAAGGCCCCTGGCATGCGTAGTTAGGTGCCAAACTTAGTTGCCTGTCTCCATCCCCATCTGCTAGGTGATATATTGATCCCAAACAAACAAGTAAATTTTCTGCACTTAGACATACCTACTCCAAATTGAGAAACATCAAGTGCAACATTCTTTCCAAGGCTCATTATCTGTCAACAAAGGCACCTAATATTCAGGTTCATATGCCCCCAGATATTCTTAACTGCTTCACTAACCTATAGCTTGTCTTTTTGCCTCTATATCGACCCACTGTTAACTTTCGGCTTCAACTCAGGTTCAAAAATGATGCAAAATTTAACAAAAACCACATAAGATCATCCCGAGTTAAAGGACAGACACGATATCATATAAAACCAGTTTTTTTCTCATCCTCGTCCTCTATTTTTGATTTCATTTTCCTTTTCCTGGTTGAACTACAGCCCATAATGTCAAGGAAGTTAAATGAATATCTTAGAAGTAAGAAGATTATGCATTTTTCCTTGATATAGTTATATTCATATCTTTAGCTATTTGCAAACATAGCATTATCTTGCCGGAAACTATTCTCATTGGTAGCAGCCTGGGACAAAACCTTTCTGAATAACGCAAGAATATGCTTTTCTTAGTTTACAAGAAAATGAAAACAGCCCAGAGCGGCATCTTAGGGTATGTAATAATGTTAAATCCGTTTGTTGAACTCCACCTACGGTAGACCATGCCTTACTTATATTTAAAACAACTGAGGCAAGACAACATGACAGTTCAGCCAAGCATCAACTAGCATAAGCACAAAATAGTAGCTATTAACTTCTGGTATAAACAAACAATAAATCTTATTGTTGAATCACCATTGCTCGATAACAGACAGGCACCATGAAAACAACACAAATTATTGAAAATCTATAACGGTAAGAGACAAATCCAAGTATGCCTAACTAGATTAGTAATAGCACTTTGGCAAGCAAATCCTCTTGGTTTTATCTCACTACCGATGGTAATACTAATGTTGGGTTCTGATGCTGGCGGAATCGTTATCTACAAGCGAAAGAGAATGGAAACAAGGGCACCCTAGCCAAGAAATTTGTGAAATTAGGATTTCTTTGGACATTTGGCAATGGCCACACTCCCATGGTGAGCCTAAATGTGATCCATACACTGATGGCAGCACTGGTTGAAGCTTGGATACATAATTGTGTCAAGGAAACGGAATCAAAGTGATGCTTTCTATGGGAGGAGGGGCTGGAAGCTATTCCCTTTATGTTTGGGTTCAATTTACAATAACCTTGTCAGTACTCCATTGGAGTTGTTGTGAACCTTGATGCTGCATAGAAGCAACACATAACGCCTAATCCTGCTACACAATTTTTACAAGGATTATCTGCTATGAAAATTTCACAAGGACATTCCCTTCTCAAAAGTGCTTCCGACCATAAAGGATTCTGTCAAGTATGGAGATGTGATGCTATGGTCAAGTACCATGATGACCAAACTGGTTATAGTTCATCCATTGAAAGCCACACCTAAAATATACATATGCAAGGCAAATAGTGACTGGTGGTATTGGTTATTACTCCTTTAATCTGGTTATATTATCAACTCATGAATGTAACCTGGAATTCTGCTATATGGAACCATATATCACCAATTCAAGAACAAGAGCCAAATGTATACAAAACCACTAATATTTTTATTGAAGTCTAATAAGATTAATTATATTGAACCAAAGTAATTTTACTCATACAATAAAGCTGATCGAAGCAGCATATGCCAAGCATAATATTAAATTGCAAAACAGAATATCAAATTGCAAAAACAAACCCGCAGGGGGAAAAACAGTCTCTTCTTTGTGCTCAGACCAAAGATAACAAATCAAAGAACTGTTAGAATTGAACCATTGTGATGATAAAATTCTTTATGAGCCTCATGGAAAAAAACCTCAGCCATGGGTGTTGACGGCTTCCCAAAGCAAATTTTTCAGAACAGGGTTGGTGAGGTCCCGAGCCTGCAAGGCCGCGTCCCTGAGAGTCTTGATTGTCTGCACATTGGCCTCATAGAAGGAAAGACTCCTATACGGCAAATCATGCTTCTTGCATAGTTCCCTCACAAAAGGCGAAACCTTTCTCAATTGGCACCTAGGCATCCGAGGGAACAAATGGTGCTCAAGCTGGAATTGCAACCCACCATAGAACCAATCCATCCAAGAGACGCATGAAATGTCAATCGTCCCACCCGCTTGTTTCTCGAACCAATCATTCCCCTTAGGGGGTCCAACATAAACATTGGCCGCGAAATGGTTCAAACAGAATTGAACATGTTGGATTGATGTAACACAAAAGCTTGCTAGCACAAACAACACCCTCTCTGTCCAATTGGGTAAGAATGAAACAAGAAGAGGAAACCAAGTCCAGAAAACAAGGATCCCACAATGTTCAAAGCTCTATCGGGTACCTTTCTCTTGGAGAACAACAACAGGAAAGTCTGCAAATAAAGATTAAATCTCGCAACAACCATCACAGGATAAAAGGTTAGATGTTGATAACTCACAAAAAACCTAGCCAATGGATCAATGTCAACTTTCTTCCATAGAAAACGGATGTCAATGAATGAAATAGACGCGAAGAGACCGCAAACAGGCAAGTGTTGAAGGTCCGGATCATAATCAAGGCTATTGCAGGCAATGTGGTGGGCATTATGAGTCCACTT